ACATAGTAAAATAATTACCCCCCTTTAAAATTAGATATAATACCAATTCAAAATGACTGGCATATTCACCAGTAATTATAAAACTACCCATAAAACTTAAAAATCTAAACATAAAATTAAAATTGGATAATTCTAAAAGAGGGCAAGACATATGTTAGAAGGTCTAATCTATTCATGGAAGGCCTGCTGGAAGAGATTCGTTTTGATGGCTTTTTTTGAAATTCTCCATGCTTGATGGATCTCTTCTGGCAGTGCATTCCATAGTCTGAGAGCAGCAACCAAAAAAGACCTCTGGGAGGTTGCTGTTAATCTGGTTCTTCTTAATTGCAGCAAGTTTCTCCCAGAGGATCTAAGAGCGTGGGGAGAATTGTATGGAAGGAGGCGATCCCTTAGATAGGTTGGACCTAGACCATGTAGGGCTTTAAATGTCATTACCAACACCTTATACTGTGCTCAGAAACCAATAGGCAGCCAGTGAAGGGATTTCAAGATTGGTGTGATGTGATACCTTCTTGATTTTCCTGTGATTAGCCTGGCTGCCATATTTTGTACCAATTGTAGTTTCAATTTATGTAATAATATCATGGCAGTCCTGTGAGGAATATGAACATTGCGAAACTGCTCAATTCTTTTTCTCACTTATATAAACCTATATCACATACTGAATTCCACCCAAGATCTTGTGAATCCCTAGCACTTCCTTGCCCACTCATGTCCCCAAATGCAAAAAGCCACCCTTGCCAACATGGCGGTGGCTTTTCAGCACTCCTTTGGTGAAGCATGTGTGGGGCACGTGGCATAAGGATGACAAGGGGACAGAGTTGGGGTGGCTGGCGTGTGGTTGCCATGCCCCCAATCTGCCCCCAGTCCAGCCTAAAGTGCCTATCTGTTCAGCCTATGAGTCTATCCACCTGTAATGCAGCCTTCCTTTTTTTCTACTGCCTTCTACTTATGATCTTTTCTAGAGGGGTGGATATTGGGGATCATCATCTGCTGTTCCTCCTCAGGGAACAAAAGGTCTTGGGCTGCAGCTGAGGGAATGATGGGAAATCTGATTACTCCACCCACATTTTAAACTGTTTCAACTGGCATATTTTTAAAATATGTTTTATA